TGTAGGTTGAAGGGAGGGACAAGGTTTAAAACATTTTGTTCAAAATGGGGTGTAAGGTTGGGATTAGAGCTTGAATCAGGATTCCTTTGTTGAAGATTTAAAAGATCGCACAGTGTAACTTTTCATCATTAGGTTTTCGGAATGAAGCACCCAAGTCTTAAGGGCGGTCAAAATGGGAAAAGAGAGAGCTCGGTATTTAAATGCTTGGAGAATGAGAGAGCTCTTGGCCTCCACTATCAACTTCAATTGTAGTCTTCCTAGTGAATGCTTGTTCGGGCTTGAGTATGAGGCATAGGTTAGTCCGTCCTTGGCGGCGGAGACTTCTGAAAGTGTAAGGAACAAGCAGAGGACTTCTACCTGACTTGACTATGCCCCTATTTCATTACTTTGACTTTTTTGCTTTTAAGTACTTTGATGTTAAAGGGTTTGAATAACACGAGAGTTAGATTAGCATGTTTGCTTCACTTCTTGTTTTGAAATCAAGTAATCAAAGTTGTAGGTACTAAAACTTTTCCCCTTTTGGTCCAAAGAATGGTCTGGTTTGCAAAAAGTTTTACTTTAAGAAAATCAAACAACTTCATTAAAAACTTTCAAAACAGATTTTCACAAGCGGTCATTACCTGATACACATGGAATCAAACCTCAAGATGTATAATCTTAAATCGAAAGGAACAAGACCAATAAAACTGCATTTCCATCTACTAATGCACTATCACTTGACCCATCTTACAACTGAATCTTCCGTGGAGTTGAGATAAGACAATCAAGACAAGCGAAGGTGGGACAACCAAACATAGACAGGACAATTGAGTTATAAATGATTAGGGTCGAACTTAGAGATAAAGTTGTCTGCATATCCCCAAGATGGGAATCAGACCTTACGTAGTTCACAGTAAGCGTTCACTTGAGTATTAACTCTCTCCTTTTACACTCTAACTTTTGCTAAAGCCGCCTTTTCAGGTTTTTGTCCTTGCGAGCTTCATTTTTCATTCATTTCTCATTTTTTTATGCTCTAATTTTGCCTAGGTCCCCTCTCAAGGGTATTACTTTTTCAATTTGTCTATGTTGATCGGTTATGAGAATTCCAAGCCATCTAAATCCATGAGAATGATTATAGCAAATAGATTTGATGATGTAATGACCAATCCAATTGGGTCGGAACTTGCCCCTAGGGTCATGGATAGGAGCTCGATTGTCTTTAAGTACTATATCTCTTTCTCTCAGATTTCTAGACTTGACTTTCTTGTTGAATGCCCTAGTAATCCTATGTTGATATCCTTGGATATGATACAATGCCTTCAACCTCTTTTCATCAAACAACATTAACTCTTCAAACCTGTTTTGTTGCCAATCTGCCTCTACTATCTAACACTTTGCCATGATTCTCAACGACGACACCTCAATTTTGATCAGTAAAACAGCCTCCATACACCAAAGAGTAGGGAGTTGCCTCGGTAGACGTACAGATTGATGTCCTATAACCCCCACAAGGCAAAAGGCAGCTTGTCCAACCAGTCTTTGTATGTTTCCACCATTTTTCATAGAATATTCTTGATGTTCTTATTTGCTGCCTCAACGACTCCATTGGTTTGTGTCCTATATGTTGATGACTTGTGAAAGGCCACATTGTATTTCTCAAATGTCCAACACTTCTTTCTTGAAGTGTGAACCATTGTGTGAGATTATCTCATTTGGCACCCCATTTTTGCAAATGATGTTGTTCCTAATGAATTTGGCCACGTGAGAAGCTTTTAATACTAAATAAGACTGCACTTCCACCCATTTGGTGAAATAGTCGATTGTTACCAAAATGAATTCGATCCCTTCAATGAGACTGCTCTGATGATGTCTATACCCCAGATTGAGAAGGGCCATGGCGATGTCATGTTGTACAGCTTCGACGACGAGATATTCATGCGATTAGCATGGATTTGGCATTTATTGCATCGCCGAATGAAGTTGACACAATCATTCTCCATGGTTGACCAATAGTAACCTTGTCTGAGAATCTTCATGGCTAACATTACACTATTCATATGTGCTCCACACTCTCCTCTGTGAATGGCTTCCATAAGGCACTTTGACTCCCCCTCTTCTACACACAGTTTGTGCATTCCTAGATGCCCCTTCTATACAACTTACTTCCTCAAATGATGAATTGGACGGCTAAACGCTGTATTCCTATTTTATCTTTTCCATTTGCCCCTTGTGGATACACATCCTTCTCCAGAAAATTCCAAATGTCATGATACCAAGGATTCTTGTCCTGAACCTCTTCTATTGTGGCTATTGTTTCATACGCGAGCACATACTTGTGTTCAATAATGATCGGGCGTATCTTGACCCAAATCGATATTTCCACAATTGAAGCAGCATTGCCAATGCGTCAGCAAATCGATTGTTTTCTCTCAACAAGTGTCCAAATGTCAGCTTTTCAGACCTCAGAATCAGGATGTCTAGTGTCTAGTGATAAACTTTCATTTTCTCATCTTTAACCTTCCAATCTCCATTGGTATGGAAAACAACTAGATTTGAATCTCCGACAGGATCCAACCTTATTGCCCCTAGTTCTAAGGAAACTTCTAATTCGGCAATACACCCTCATACTCTGCTTCATTGTTGGGTACTTTGAAATAGAGTCTGAAAGCCAAGGGTACATAGGAACCATCGGGTGCTATAAGCAACACACCTATTCCATAACCGTGTTGGCTAGCCACCCCATCAAAGTACATTTTCCATATCTTTTCTTCTACTTGCAAGATCTCCTCATCTAGGAATAGGTACTCTACATCTTCCTCCCCCTCAATTGGGTGATCTGCCACTGTCAGAAATTCCACTATAGCCCTTCCTTTGACCGACTTGTGAGTGATATACTTAAGGTCGAACTCAGAAAGAAGAAGCAACCAATGAGCTAACCTACCTGTAAGTGCCGATTTCTCAATGAGATATTTAATGAGATCCAATCTTGAAACCAGAATTATTGAGTGGGCTAACAGGTAGTGTCTCAACTTCCTAGTGGCCCAGACCAAAGATAAGCAAGCCTTCTCCAAAGGAATGTAACGAGTCTCATAATCCTGCATTTTTTTACTCAGATAGTAAATGGCCTGTTCCACCCTTACTTCTGACTTTTGTGCTAGCATGCATCCCATAGTTGACTCTGTCACTGATAAGTACATGATCAGTGGCTTCCCCTACTTTGGTGGTGACAGCACATGCGAATTCTGAAGATACTGCTTAGCTTGTTCGAAGGCGAACTGACATCGATCGTCCCATTGGAATTTCTTCCCCCCATTTAAGAGACCAAATAGTGGTTCACAAGTCAAGATTAATTTGGAAATAAACCATCTTATGAATTGAAATTTTTCTAGAAATTCCCGCATCTTCTTTTAAGTCCTTGGTGGTGGCATTTCTAGGATGGCTTTGATTTTTTATGGATCGACATCAATTCCCCTCTGAGTGATCAAGAATCCTAACATCTTGCCTACCACTACCCCAAAGGTGCATTTCTGTGGATTTAAACTTAGCCTGTACTCCTTGATCCTTTCGAAGAACTTCTCGAGCACGACATAGTGGCCTTTTCACTCTTTGGATTTCATAATCATATCGTCCACATACACCTCGACTTCTATGTGGATCATGTCATGTAGTATTATGATTGTAGCTTTCTGGTATGTAGCCTCGACATTCTTCAACCCGAATGGCATGACTCTATAGCAGTACGTCCCCTACTGTGTGGTGAAAGCAGTCTTTTCCCTATCCTCTGGTGCCATCAAGATTGGTTGTAACCTGAAAAGCCATCCATGAATGACAACAATGCGTGGCCAGCGGTGAAGTCTACCAACTTATCAATGTGTGGCAATGAAAAGTCATCATTGGGACTAGCTTTATTCAAATCCCAGAAGTCGACGCAAACTCTAATTCTGTCGTCATTCTTTAGAACTGGAACGATGTTGGCCAACCAAGTCAGATATTTGGATACTATCAAGAACCCTGCATTGTCCTACTTGGTGACCTCCTCTTGGATTTTCAATGCCCAGTCTTGACGAATTCTACAAAGCCTCTGCTTAACTGGTCGGGCCTCGGGGTCGAGAGGAATTATTTGTACAATCTTAGTATTAATTCCAGGCATGTCTTCGTAAGACCATGCAAAAACATCTTTGAAATCTTTTAACAAAGTGATTAATCACTCGTGCTCATCTGAAGACAATGTGAAACCAATTTGAACCAAGTGAGGATCCTCCTCAGTACCCACGTTAATTGAAATAATCTCATCCATGAAAAGTCTAGCACACCTCTCCTCTTCTTGGTCAATCAGGTTTTTTTATAGCCTGAGGAATTTCTTCCTCTTCGTTTTCATCATAATTTTGAAAATCTCGGTCAATGCAATGAATTAACGGCACATAGAAGTAAACGGAAACTTTGGTACATTCATTTAAAAGTTCTGGCTCACCGGTTACAACAAACTCAAAGGAAAATGAAAAAGACGAATTTGATAGGACTATGGTGTCTGGGTTACCACCCTTGGAAGCACCAGACACAGACTCACTAGACATACTCGAATCTGACTCTGACTCTGACTCAACAGACTTAGAGGAATCATTACATCTTGGATGAGGTTGGTGTACCTTTTTCAAACCTTAGAATCAGATCCTTCTATTTATTTTTGTTGTGAGTTGGGTGTTGCCTTTTTTAAATTGATCATGACATGTTTGGAGCTTTTATTTCAACAATGTGATTATGGCAGTGGAGTTTTGGTTTCAAATGTCGAGTTTTGGTTTCTTTTGCGAAACACCCACATCTTATTAGCATTTTTGGAGGAGTTTGATTATTTAAAGCTCTGTTTTTTAATTTTGAAGGGACATTTGTCTATATCATTTTCGATGGTGATGATTTTGGCTTAGATAGCTTTGACAAGACGTTTGATTCAGTTTATAATTCAATTTAATAACAAAATTGCACTATTCAAAGTTGCAGCTCATCCCATTTGAAATCCATTTCAGCAGCTTTGCAACATCATCTCTTCCCATTTCTCTCTCGCTCTCTCTTCAACGGACCACCATCAAGGTAATGCCACTTCTCTCTTGCTCTCTCTTCAAACCTCATCTATTTCAACATCTTTTGTTTCAATAATCTTTACTCTAATTTGTGAATATCTTTTGTTTCAATAATCTTTAATTCCAGCAGGTTTGTTACTCAATAATATTGACAACAGGTTGTCCAATTTAATTGCTTTATTGATGTTTACAGCTTGTGATTGAAACATTGTGTCTGAAGCATTGTGGACTTCCTTAAGACCTTTCATATCGAAACATTGTGGTAAGAATTTGATTTGTGTTCTTACTTAAACATTTTCTCTATATATATTTTTTGTTTGCTTTTCTATCTATTTGTCCACTTTATGTGCAGAAGTATATAGTGGTTGACTTTACTACTACATATATTTCTACTCATTTACACCCTTTGCTAGGTTGGGGTAATGTGGCATATTTAAAATTTTTAGGATTTATTAATTTGTAAGAACAATGGTAAGATTCATTAATGTTTTCTTGTTGTTTGGAGTTAGATTGTGTCACCAATACCTGAAAATGTCCTCATATTAGACTGATTCATTATTTTTATTTAATGTTTGGAGTCAAATTATTATTTTAAAACTGTGTAGATGTGCAAATCTTTTGTTATATGTTAATTTTAATAAATAGATTTTTGGAAGCAAAGTACTAAGTGATTGATGTGTTTTATTGGTAGTTTCCATTAGAAACACAATTCATTTTGATAAATTGTTTAATTTTAGTAAAATTTGGTGGCGGAACATGATTGATAGGTTATTAGTTTGGTGTCTGCATATCTATGTGATTTTTTATTAATTCCTTGAATGAGATATTTTATTTATAGAAAATGATTGGTAGGTTATTAGTTTGCAGCTCCATTTAAACCTCTTTTAATTCAACAAAATTTAAGAAAGCTTAAGCCATCGATATGTTTGATTCCTAACAATAATGTAGGAGCCATCGATATGTTAAGTATCTGTTGATATAGATTTATATCAGCCATTTGTTATATTTATATGGATTTACAGTCTAAATCGAATGAGATTGAAGTTTATGAGATATAATGGGATTTCAGTTTATGATAATGTGTTTCAAATATAATGTGTTTAATGTGTATGATAACGGGTCTCAAATAAAATGAGATTTAAGTTCCTGATAATGTGTCTTATATAAACGAGTTATCTTCTACCGTCTAAAACTTGCTGTTTAGTGGATGGAGCTCTCAACTTTGCTAAAGAAATTTTCAATAGGCTTGGATAGCATAAATGATAAATGATTTAGGTGATTTTGATAAATGTGTGAATTGGGTTTCATTTTTAACACGAAAAGTAATGTTTTGTAATGTTTTGTTTTTATTTTATTGTTAAAAATTAGAATTGGGTTTCATTTTATTTGATTGTACTTAACGTATGGCACAATTAAGTAATCAAATAGTCATTGTACAGCCTATTGTTATTTAAACCCAATCTATTTATAGCACTATTAAATGAGTTATTTCTTCACTGCAGGTCTGTGGTGTTTCAACCTCTTCAACAACCTTAGATTTTATTTTAATTCAAATCATGGACAACATTTATAGTTTTGGTTAAGTATGTTTAGTTTATAGTTTATGAATCGAGGCTTAATTTCTTGCTTATTATTTATAATTTTTCTCATAATTAAATGTTTTTGTATTATTCTTTACAGGTGGATGATATGTTAGAGGAAACAGTAACATTAAATCTCTATACCCATTTTTTATTTAATCTACATTCCTTAATATAATTTTTCTTTTACCTTTCAAATGCATTTCTATATATACACAAGTTCAGTTTCTTCAAAATATAAATGTCAATGTTGTGCTCTATAATGAACGTGACTTCAATGTCCTCTGTGTTCGTGGGGTAAGCCCACTAATCAAATTTATTTGTTTCTCATATTTTTTCTCAAAGGCAATGGTAAGGGCAAAGGAAAATGAGAAGCTTAAAGGAAAAAGAAAGGAAAACTACTCAATAAAGGGAATAAAAAAATACACAAGTGGTATGATTCTTTTCAAGTTTGTTTTGGAGCATGTGTAAAGAAAATCATGAGGGAATATGATATGTTGAAGCATGCATAATTTGTGTAATTTTTTTTTTTTTACTGTAAAGTTTGTGAAGATGGGCATGGTGCTTTTAATCCGTAATATTACTAATTTCCAAACTAAATTATGCATCCTTAAAAAACAATACACTAGAAAAAATTATAAAGGATCTTTTACAAAGATATATAAAATTTTCCAAATAGAATAGGGAAGTAATTAAAGTTTAAAAAAGAATACAAATAATAAAAGAAGGAAACAAATAGAAAGTGTATTTTAATTAAAATTTTGTTTAAATTATAATCAAGTCAAACTTTTGTAGGATTGGGTTGAAAAGGCTATGGAGCTCAAGAGGATAAATAAGACTACATTACTCTGATGGAATAGTAATAAGGTATTCTTAGTTCATATTGTTTCAATATCTATTTTTCGTATTGTTTCAATATGCTAATGTTAATGTTTTTTAAATATTAGATTGTTGTGCATGCTCCTCACTGGAAAAAGTACACAGAAGTTGATACATGGACATTTCAAAATTTGATGGAGAACAAGTTTGAAGGCGCCCAAGCACTTTAGATGCGTCCAAGTACTTTTTCTATAGGCGTCCAAGTTTTTGTAGAGGCGCCCAAGTACTTTTTGTTGAGGCGTCCAAGTTTGAAGACATTATATAGTATACATTTTGTAAAGCTTCATATTGATATATACTTCAATAGATTTCTAATATTTTTGTAAAGTCTATTATCAATGTAAAAGATTGGACCTTATGGATGGTTATTGAGTGTGAACTATCAAGTGCCCTTGAAAATTCACTAAACTTAAGTGCAACAATTTAATTTTTAGTATCTTTACATATTTTGGTGGAAGTCACATATGCTTGACATGAATTTTTGTATAATTTTAGTGTCTATTGTTGTAAGATGTTAGAGTCACATTGAAAAAGAATAATTTATTAGTGGGTTGAAGGAGGAGAATGTTAATAGTATTGTTACCTCTTAATTTGATCATGGTTATGAATTTTATGTTTCTTCATTAAGAAAGACCAGTATATTTTGATGCACTATTTTCATGGTTTGTTTCTGAATTCATTTATCTTTTCAGGACCTTTAACATTCCAACACAGCTGGTTGTGAAAGTAGTTTCGGTTTGTTGTATCATCCCTGATATTTTGGTATCAACAATAAGGTTAGTCTTCAAAGTAACTTGGGTTATTTTTATTTCATTTATTTATAAATAGTTAGTTGAGACTGTGAAGAAGTTGGGAGGATTTGAATTATTTCTGTTGATATTTGATGTTTAGTAGACTAATTTGAACTATTCCTTAAACAGGACTAATTTTGAAAATATGCTTGAGAATGAAGTGGGAACTCTTGAAGGCACCACCCATAAAAGATTTGAAATTTATTAGTTATTTATTTCAGTTTTCTTTATATATTTTGTTCCTATTTCTATGTGAAATTTTAAATTAGAGTGATATTATTATTTTGAATTGATTTATTATAATTGAATTTCGTAGCATGTGTGGTATCAAAAAAAAATTGCTCGCAGAGTACCTTCAGGCACGGGTTATCCCTAATATATATATATAAGTATTCAAGTAATAATTTTATAAAACAATAACATCAATATTATTAAAATAAATAATTAAAATTATATTTTAATTTTAAATTATTCTTTTATAGCACATTATACCATCAAATATATATTTTTTTTAAATAACACATACATTACCCCAGTTAACTGTTAATTTAAATATTTATAGTCAACTTCATGAATTCTTTGTTTTTAAATGACAAACTTATAATGGTGTCACATCATTCTATACAAAGGTTTTTTTTTTTTTTTTTTTGGTATGTTTTTCTATTTGCGTAATATTACTCCGAATAATTCTTAGGAAAATGTTTGGTAACTCAAATTTTTGTGGTTCAAATGGCTCAATTCTATCAAAACGACGTCGTTTTACACTCAAAATCTGTCAAAACGGTCGTTTTGACAAATTTAAATCATTTAAACCATAAAAATTTAAACTACCTAGCATTGTCGTAATTCTTATATGCTCCACTCGTCTCCGTCCCTTTAGCCTCCTCCCACTACTCACATAGTGACTGACGTCCTAATAAATTACATAAACTTTTTTTTGTTTTTTTTTTTTTTAAACTAGAAATTGTGTCCTAAACCGTTTGGATCCACTCCATGAACGTAGATCTGAATCAAGTAACACCTCTAATCACATGATCCGAGCAGACGGGAGAAACCGACAAAAGTCAAACATAAGCACTTGACATAATTAGACTCCCAATGACTCTAATGCTTTAATTTTTTAACTGGAAGACTGAAAATGTTGAAGTCTTTCCAGAATAGTGTTTTCCTTGGCTGTTGATGTCAAATGTAAAATCAATAACTGTTAAGAGCATCTAATGAAACTGCTATCTAACTTGCCAAAATTAAAATTTGATAAAAATAATAAAAAGAGTTTTTAATGACTTATTATTTTACTTGTCAAAAATAGTAGATACTATTTTTGTTCTCAAATTTAGCAGGTTGAATAGTAGTTGTCAAACTTTCCAGATCAGCAAATGTCAACAGATTTTTGGTCCCAAATTTAGTTGAAAAAACATAATTGAAACAGTAAAAAATCCAAAAAATTCAGAATCAAACCCACTTTTCAATTTTGTTGCCAAATTAACAAATTTCATAATAAATTTGATAAACCGAAATTCGGTTTCTCTTAATTTTTTATTTTTTTAATCATTTATCACCAAATCAGTCGATCCAAAATAAATGGATATTATCACAATAAACCAAATCAAATTAGATGGATATTATCACAATAAACCAAACCAAAATAGGCTTCAGTCCTTTGAAGATCAAAATAAATATCAAAATAAAATAAATGGATGAATAAAAATAGATGGATGAACAAAAATTAAACCAAAAATTAAAATAAATAATTAAGAAATTTTTAGTAAACATACCAGCAATTGTGTTCTTTGAAGATCCTTCTGGAGATGCTTAAGTTCTTTGAAGATCCAGTTTGAAGCCATTGCGAGAATTGAGTTTCAAAAATCGCAATCACCTTGGCCTGCTATTCTATTTGCCAAAAATAGCAGATGCCATATCTGCTCTCAAATTTGGTAGGTTGAATAGCAGCTGCCAAACTTGCTAGATCAGCAAATATCAATAGATTTTTGGCACCAAATTCAATTGAAAAAACAGAATTGAAACAGTAGGAAACCCAAAAACTTTAGAATCAAACCCAAATATGAGAATGAAAACCAATTTTCAATTTTGTTGCCAAATTAACAAATTTCATAATAAATTTGATAAACCGAAATTCGGTTTCTCTTAATTTTTTATTTTTTTAATCATTTATCACCAAATCAGTCGATCCAAAATAAATGGATATTATCACAATAAACCAAATCAAATTAGATGGATATTATCACAATAAACCAAACCAAAATAGGCTTCAGTCCTTTGAAGATCAAAATAAATATCAAAATAAAATAAATGGATGAATAAAAATAGATGGATGAACAAAAATTAAACCAAAAATTAAAATAAATAATTAAGAAATTTTTAGCAAACATACCAGCAATTGTGTTCTTTGAAGATCCTTCTGGAGATGCTTGAGTTCTTTGAAGATCCGGTTTGAAGCCATTGCGAGAATTGAGTTTCAAAAATCGCAATCACCTTAGATCTACATCAACAACCAAAAAAATAAACAAAAAATCAAAGCATATATATATATATATGAGTATGTATATAGATGGAGATCGTACCAGAGAGAGAGAGAGATTGGAGAGTAGACAGATTAGAGAGTAAAGAGATCGGTGAAGACTTGAGCTCAAGGACAGACACACACACACACACACATACACACACAAAGAGAGGGAGAGAGAGGGGTTTGGATGATGGAGGAGGAAAAGGAAAGAGGAGAGTGAGAGGCAAGGTGAAAACAAAGAGAGAGAAAAAGAGAGTGAGAGAGAGTGAGAGGCAAGGTGAAAACAAAAAGAGAGAGAGAGAGAGAGAGAGAGACGTTTCGATCATGGAGGAGGAGATGGGAAGACTGGTTTGAGGAGCGGGAAGACAGAGTGAGAGGGAGAGGAAGACGGTACATTTCAATTGAAGGGAGGGTTGGATGATTCTAGAAAATCATCTCAACCATTGAAGTTTTATACATGGACGGTTGTGGTTCTCTCGCTCTGTCTAAAAAGAGTCGTGCTCTGTTTGGTTTGAAAAAAAACAAAAAACAAAAACAAAAACAACAATTTTTTATGACAACAACTATCTTAAAACGGCTATTTCTCAAAAACGATAATACTTTGAATTTCTATAAATTGAAACCCTCTATCTCAATTTTATTTCACAGCAAACATTTGGATTTCATTTTTTTTCTCCTCTTTTTCTATGAATTTGATTTCACAGCAAACCTCTAAAATTATTTTCTTTTTGGTTTTTTCATACAATCACTATAGAAGGTTCATCAAAAACAACGAGAGGAAAATCATTCACTATTGAAGAAAATATGACAATTTCTAAATCTTGGTGTCACATTTTGGAAGACCCAATTGTTGGCAATTTGCAATCATATACTCACTTTTGGGAGAGAATTTACGAAAATTATTGCTTAGTTCAGAATGATCAGTCAAGAACACAAGTGTTTATCCAATCTCAATGGGGGTATGATCATGAAATGATATAACAAATTTGGGGAATGTTTAGCACAAGTTGAAAATCTTCAGCCAAGTGGGATATCTCAAGTTGATATAGTAAATTTTCATATTCAATTATTATGTTTAGTTTCTTATTTTGGTATCGTATAAAAATTAACTAATGAAATAATGTTTTAATTTTATTGATACAGATGCTTTAAGCAAAACAATTATACCATCAAGATGAAAACAAACATTTTACTTTTGAATATTGTTAGCCAATCTTGCAAGACAATATCAGGTAGCAAGATGTAACTCCTATGAATATAGTAAATTTAAGGATGCATATAGCGTTTACCCCTAATTCAGCCCCCGATTCTCCTATGGATAACTGCATTCTCTTGAAGACGACAACAGTCCAAGTGTTGGTAACAATCCAACTATTGGTGAGGGTAGTGTTTTTGCAAGGGGTAAGAAGCCAATGGGTAGAAAAGCTGCAAAAAAATAATTTTGGAGAAATCAAGTCATTAAAACTGAAGTAAAAAAAATGAACATACAAATGAAGACATTTAACCAATACCTGCTGAGAGGGAAAAGAAAAAAGAAGAATAAAAGAAAAAATGATTCAAGCACTGTAGGAGCTGAAAGAACTTGAGATGAAAAAATATAACTTTGAGATAAGAAGACAAGAACATGAGATAAAAAAAGAACATATGATAATGACTACAAACATTTCTCATTTAGACTCTCAGATGAAAGCGTATTACACAATGCAAAAAAATGATATTTTCGGCAAGTAGTCTTTAAATGTCAGCAGCCCAAATTACTATTTCCTCCTGCCTCCTGATGAATAATTACGAGATAATATATTTTTAAATTTTGCAATGTCATTTAATTTTTAATGTAATTGTTAGCCTTTATATTTGCAATGTCATTTTTTATTTTGTAATGAAATTTCATTTTATTATTTTTTTATCTTTTATTTTTGTGTATTTTCTACAAAACAATGCAATATTATTTTTGCAATGTATAATGTTGATTAATTTTTAGTATAATTTAAAATTTTCAATAAAATATAATGAAAAAATAAATATTTTTTCAAATGAAGGCAATAAAATGAAAAAACAAATATACTTTTTCAAATAAAGGCAATAAAAAGATAAAATACATTCACTGACATTAAATGAAGATAATTTTATTATAACAAAAAGACATTAACTAACATTAAAAAGATAAAATACAAACTTAATCTAACTCTCCAACTCGGGACAACAAGTGTTCAATTAGATCATTACGAATTGCGTTATGGGTTTCAGTAGATCTAATTCTCTGCCGATTCAACGTAAATTGAGCATATTCCTCATTCAGATCGAGTGACACTTGACAACAGGTATTACTGGAATCAGTCTCAAGTTGTGCTGCACTGCGTTCATTTTCTAAAATATTACAAAAATAAACAAAAAAAAAATCACAAAAAAACCTATATCCAAACAACACTTACAAACTTGGAGGGAAAGTTGGTTGAGATTTGTCAAAATAGTAAATGACAATTGTAGCACCATTGCTATAATTTGGCAAAATAACACTATTCATTGTCAAATTATAACAATAGCAATGACATTATAGCAACAATGGTTTAAGATGCTCTAACAGGTGCACCAAATTTTTTTTGTTTTTTCCATGTCCTTCTGGTTCTTAGCAAGAGAGAACACATCAATTGCCATCGGCAGTATATTCTTCTACTAACCATAATATTACTCTCCTTTTCAAGAAGATGATCATCAGTGAAGTTAAATAATAATACGTAATAATAATGATAGATGAACATCCAAAATTATATAAATAACATTTGGTGATCTCGCAACTGATCGATAAAATTGTGTTCTTTTTACAGAGACAACTTTTGGCTCACAGATACTCACCTCTTGTGCACAGTAACCAGATTACTTGAGGACTACCAAGATTGGATTGTAGACAACCTCTGTGTAAAGAGGTCGAAATTTTTTTCGCGTTCCAACATGCTAATTCTAACATACTTGGGGCAGACCCCAAAGTGCTTCCCTCCTCTAGTCAATATCTTGTGCCCGCGAAGAAAGCTTTCGCAATCCTCTATTTCCCCTTCACATTTCAACCATGCAAACGCTACAAAATGAGGAAAAAAAAGAAAAAAAAGAAACGTGTTGTGATTTTATGATGATTATTGCCGAACAAAATGACGATAGCAGTAATGACTGTGATTCTCAGTAATAATAATTACCGGGCTGTGGTTCAAAACTACAACCGCTGAAGTTGCAGAACGCAGTAGGAAAGTCAGGCAGACTGAATAGTCGACTGTTTTTCACTGCTGCTCTCAGCTGCTTCCACCTCTTTTCCATGAGGATATAGCTATAGTCAAAGAAGGGTTGGACTTCTTCATCACTGCCAACAGGGTCACAACTATCACCTACAGCTTGCAAAATCTTGGCTGCTCGAAGTTGTGAATCTTTGGACACGCCTATGGTGTTGAGCTCTATGAATTTGGTCATTTTTCTTGCGACTTCTTGGTCTTTAACAAGGGCCCAACTGCAAGATGAGGAGAAAAAGTTTAAAAAGAAATTTATTAGATCCAGTGACTTTTGCATTTTCTTTCTGTTGATTAAGATGCGAATACTACAGCAGCAATTAGCACCCTCAGGCTGTGTTTAGATCTTGGATTTGAATAGAAATTTATGATGGGAAACAAAAAAGGAAAAAGTGACAAAAGTAGCTTCTATATCTGTCACTTTTTTCTTTTTTCTCAAATCCATGACCCCAACACAGCCTTAATGTAGCAAGATTGCCATTTGACAATTACCCCTCTCAAAGATTCAATAATAAATAGCTCATAGCTTGAAATTGGGTGAAAATAAAAATAAAAACAAGGATAATTCATATCACCAGTCTTCTTGGAAATAATCACAACAATGGAATGAGAAGCTTACCCAATGCGCGTTCCAGCATGGCCGGTGCTTTTGGACACAGTGAAGAGCATAAGGTCATGGTCTGCAGGAAAAGAGATTGGAGTATATTGCGGCCAATAGTATGCAAGATCATGAACCAGTATTCCTTGATTTCGGTTCACCACGGCCTGCCTTGTGGATCCATCAGGGTTGTTAGGTGAGGTTACAAGCTCAATGTAAGGCCTATTTTTACTAAATTTGTGTGCATCGCCAGCCCATTTATAGAGCCCAGACTCCAGGAAGTCTGTCATCAATGGGTAAGACTGCAAGCAATCAGCCATTCATTGTTAATCCCATAATTTTTTTTTTTTTTAATTAAATGGGTCCACTTTAACATCTGTAGGTTGTGAATTTTAATCACCAATTACTAACCTTCCAATTCTTGGTAAATGTCAAAGAATGAGAGGCTAAGTTTTATATTTGGCAACAAAAGATGTATATGAGGATCCAAAAATACAGCAAGAAAATCAAGTAGATCTGCCTTAATTATCATGAAGATCGGAAATTAATATCCACATCACCATTTAAACCCACCACGGATGGCATGCTTCCAACTCTTGTAACCTCTGAAGTAACATGCATTTATCTTGTAACAATGGGCTATGACTCCAAAAAAAGGACCTATTTGCCTTTTCCTTCAGAAACAAAACAGGTAGATGACTTCCAGAGAAAGCATGACAGAACTAGTATTTGAGAGAGAGAGAGAGAGGGAGAGAGAGCAAGACAAGAATCCGGCTATGGACACACCATTGTCTACAGTATATTTTACCACCTACTCAATGGAAGTGTAAGAGGGGACAAGACATTATAATTAAATATTACAGATACTTGTTCATATGCTCAAGCAATTGTATATATAGAAAACAGAATGGTAAGTCGGTAACCAATTCTGCATTGTTGCAAATAAGTCAATATCGCAAAAAAAAAAATAAACGGTTACTTATAATAAACAAACATATGAAATGGATGTTTAATGTCATGCACCAAAATGTGGTGCCATACACTTGTTTACCACAAAACTATTTTGGTCTTTTTACGCCCCTACGAGAAAGGTGTGACATTATCATTTGTAATATTAGAATAGGACACATCTGCAGACAAGCATGCCTGCCAGGTCACATAATTAAATGTATATCAAACAGCATGGTAAGAAACCGCAGTGTTCACAATCGGTAAAACTGTTGACTTTGATTTGATTCCCTAGCAAGTATGTCAGCAAGTTACAAGATTCTAATTATAGAAGAATGTGTAATTACTAAATCATAATTAAATCAAACATGACACATTGAACTTACCGAGTAAAACGGGGCAGCAGACACCACGCTCATGGGCTCAGATGCATTGGGCGGACAGAGAGCATATAATGCAGCCTGAAAGAGTTGTGTCGAACCTGTTCCAACCACAATGTGATGGCCTTCAGTGATGGCATTTCCAACCAGTTTGTGCAATCTAATAACTGCCCTTGCAAATTCTGGCTCCAAAAACCAGCAAAGTTTTGTAACATCAGAAAAATAACTGATGTACTGCCACCCAGAGATCACAACTGTGGTCCTGTCACCCATCTGCTGCCAAAAACTCTCGTACATTGTCGGATCGCCACTGCATTGAATTATATTTGAAATTGGGAACAACTTCATAATGTCGGTCGTATATCAGAAACACAAACACACCATGCTAGATTCATAAGACACACAAAATTAACTACACAAGTTATTTAAATCCATTTGATGTTTCCAATGGGGTTTGCTACACTCCATGGTGCAATCTATAGATGGTCCACCAATACGAAGTGAATTGGTGTCTGCTTCATATTAGCAAAATTAAGGAATGCAAGCTGATGTATGATTTTTCTTTTCTATTTTTTTTTTTGGTTGCTTGATAGTTGATGTACTATGTAATTATCAATACAAGGTCAATATCCCACCAAGCTAATGTATGTATGGTAAATTAGAAAAAGCTTACAACCATATGTTTTAACTTTAGCATTGGTGGGACCACAGTGGATAGTGGAATACGGTCAAATATGACTCAAATTTACATATGGTCCACTACAATAGTGTCCTGATCTTTGTCTTCGCATTCAAATATTCAAGTCCATATGCACCATATGAAGATCAATAAATAATTCGCAAAACTGTCAATGCATTAGATTAACACATAACACATGCAAGGTAGGTATGGAAGAGAGCACTTGTGGGTCCTCTATAATAGATCAATGATTGGATGGATCGCTGATAAACATAATATCTAAAAGGTTTGTTTGTAATAATAGGCAGAGACTAAAGGTGGGATTGTAACTGGTAATGCTTATAAGGGCCCATAAATTATTAAATCCATACTACCCACTTTCCTTTCCATATAATAATAAAGGGGTAATAAAATTGAAGTCAAAATTTTAGTCTTTCACAACTTCTCAAAGGACAAAGGGGGTTCCAAATGTGGTACTAATTACTACTAAATACTACTCCGCATGCTCCATAAGCACAAAGCCACACAAAAAGACCCACAAACATGCATCCACAAAAGTAAGCCTAAAAAGTGCATCTGGGCTTAACATAGTCACCTCGGAATTCAAATTGCTTAAAAAGATAATGAAGTTTTTTTAGCAACTTGAGATCCGCCAACAAGTATAGAGAATAACGATGCTGGTCAATGAGCGATTTTGGCGAGCACCACCACCAATGGTGCATGTTAGAGTATACCACAACCACAACTTTGGGAACAGAGAGAGAGAGCATGACATAACAGATTCCACGAGGCACCCCAACTCTAATATGCACCATGGGAATTCACAAGACCTGTCTCTTTGTCTCCAAAACTGGAGAGAATCATAGCAGTGAAGCCCTTAGTGCACGTTAGGGATTGTCAGCAGTCAGAAGTGTACCGGTACGGGCAATAGAGTCAAACAGACTCTTAACAAATCATAAATAAATCCCTATTGAGTATTCTGTTATGAAATATCACTTGTCTCCCTGTGGCTTCTCAAATATCAATAGGTGGCTCTGTTGCCAAAGAAATTTTCAAAGTAGACAGAACTACCCCACGTTAATTTTACCTAAAATAATTTTACCTATTCATATGTCAATGATAATGAGTGCGCTTAAGGAATTGTTTAGTATACAGATTGAGGGAAAATGCTATAAGAATAAACGAAAACATTAAAAAGAATTCTGCAACAAATGAAAAATATTTTTGCAATTAATGAAAATGTCTCCGCGTTCTTTTACTTCTTTGTCTCTTTTTATTGTACCTTGTTAAAAAGACACTTAATAAATCATCAACAAAGTCAAGACTCTGTTGATAAAGCCAAAACTGCACTAGCAAAGGCCACCGCATAAGCAACACCTCAAAACGCCATGGATAATATATATATATATATATATATTTTTTCCAATAATTTTGCTGGAAACCGAAGTAAGTCTGGTAATTGTTTTTGTTGCCAAACAAATACCAACAGTTTTCAGAACTTTCAATTTTTTTTTTAAAAAAAGGTTATTTTTTCACAGTGTTAGCACATTGTAGACTTGGCCACCAAAGTAGCAAAATGACTGTTATGTCCCTGGTTTCATACCAAAATTGTAAACATGAACAATATAGCCCTTACTAGCAGTTTGGGATTTGAAATGCGAGACGACTCTCATAGAATATATGCAATCACTCACAAACTACATATATCGTTTTAAGCCTAGGCATTGACGCTAGTGAGAACAAGTGAGAATCGAAAATGAATGAGCACTGAGATATACCATAAAGGTTTTAATTAGCTTTATCTCATACATACATATATAAGAGAAGCTGAGGGGGTTGGTGATAAATCCGAAACTTCATACTGAGTAATTAGATATTTAAGGAATGAAAACAGAGAGTGAGACTTACTGGTCGAGATTGATGACTCGCCCTCCACCATCTTCGACTTCCTTATGAGCAGTTGAAGTTGACCACGTCGTCGTCTCCACGAGCTTCGTCTTGCTAACGTGCGCCACTTTTTGGTCACAATCGACCATGGAAGCCTCTATGTTCCGGTACTGTTTCTCCTCCAAACAGAGCCCATGAACACTCTGTTCAGCTCTCCAATTCTCACCCACATATCCAAGCCTCAATATCAGCCCAACGTTCAGCGCCAAAGACAACATCAACACATGCCTCAATGACAAAACCCTCCTCTTATCCATCTCTCTCTCTCTTTTTTTTTTTTTTTTTTTTTTTTTAAAACATGCCTCAATGACAAAACCCTCCTCTTATCCATCTCTCTCTCTCTTTTTTTTTTTTTTTTTTGATTGACAATACAGAGTTGGATTTACACTTTGAAGAAACAGGGCACAAGCAGATTCTGTGAATATATTATGGATTGCTCCTCAGCAAATGCGAGAGAGATTTAATCATGTCCAATCCAAGTATGGAGGCAAAGCAGAGGTGACAAATGAATCGTAGTGGCATCAATTCCAAGAGTAGAGAGCACAACAACCCAAAACAGTATTGTGGTGGGTCTGTCTGTGTAAAGATTCTGTCGAGAAAAAAAACACCAACAAAGTATGAGACACGAATAGCGAAACAGATTGAAAATCTTAATTTATTTATTTATTTATTTATTGTATCTGTGGGTAGTGAGTGACTAGGGTTTGTATGTATGTGGGTTTTTGAGTGTGGCAATCCCAGTGTATGTGTAAAACAAACACTTTCGTTGACTAGTCTGTTCTTGTTAAATAGAGAGTAGTAGGGTATTGAGAAGAGAATGCGTTACCAATAGGCAATGGAGTCTTTGTCGATTGGAGTAGAGCGATTCAGGGAACAACACAGATCAATCCATCCAACCAAACACATTGCCATTTTCTCGGGAGAGGCTAAAATGCGCCGGATGAAGGCGAGTGGGATGGATTCCAGTGGGAAGCAGTCTGACAGGAGATTTTTGAAGGAATCAATAAATCAAAAACCCAACGATTTTCCCGGAAAATCGCAGATTTCAGATGCCGGATCTCGAAAATACACGCACTTTTTTTATATGTATATAAAAAAAGAAAAGAAAAAAAAAAGAAAAGAAAAATAAACTAACAAAGTTGTGTTGTAGCTTCAGTGCTCTCTACCACAAGCCACAAACACAGCCTCTTTCTCTATATACAGTTACGCAAATTTGTAAGAAAACAGACAGACAGCGAGAGAGAGCTGGGGTTTAGCTTTTGGGGAGAGAGAGAGAGAGTAGTTAAAAAAATAGAAAGAAAAGAAAAGTTGCTTCTGCTTCTCTTCTGCTTCCTATGCTCGTGCCCTGCTGTGCTGGTGCTTTCAGTTTTACTTTTCTTTTTTTTATGAGAACACTCTGCACACTACCGAACCCAGTGCGTGCATCATGTCATGGGTGTGGATATCTCAAAAATGTTATCAAAAATGTTAGAGGTCCTAAAAATTCTTTTAAAAATTTTATCAAATATCTCATATGGGTGTGGAATCCATATGGGACCCACAAGGTGTGGATCCCATACCCATGTAAAACATTTGGTAAAAATTTTGATAGAATATTTGAGGTCTCTAGCATTATTCTTATGTTATTGGGTACTTACGTGTAGGTTTTAATGACATTTCGTTTGAGAACATATTTTTTAATTAATTTTTTAATTTTTTAGTTAAAATATAATATATAAAAAATTAATAAGTTTGGGATAATTTTTTAACTTTTTATGAAAAGATATGTAAAAAGTAGAGAGGAAATGAAATCTTTGATTTTTTGGTATAGGTTGTTGGTTTTTTAGTTTTTTTAATAACTTTTTGATTTTTTAGCTAAAAAAGTCTCTTGCCAAACGAGGCCTCAATGAATTTATTATCTAATAGATTCTAAAAGAAAAATTTGTCATAAAAAAGTCACTAATTGTAAGTATTAATGACAATTTATAAAAATCATGACAAAAAAAAGTCATTAATTATCAATTTTTAACGATATATATAAAAAATTGTCACAAAAAATTTATTTTTAGTGACAATTTTACCAAGACTTATTTTCAACAGGACTTGATAGAAATTAAATCCAACTATTATGACCTATTGATAATTTACCCTATATTATTTTAACACATTATTTTATTTAAATTACATTATTTCTTTATCACATCGTTTTAAATTTAATTCATATTTCATAATTTTTCATAAAAAATCAAAAAGTATATTAATCTAACACTTTCTAAACAACTTCATATATATCTTATAATTAAAAAAATAACATAATTTTGATTTTTTAAAATCATAATTATATATATTATAATTAAACATAACATAAATTATAATTAAAATAATATTATAATTAAAAAAATTAAACATAACTAAAAAAAATAACAAAATTATGGAACATATGACACACATTTTTTATACACGGATATATTAGAATTTCTTTTAGACATTCTTTTCTTTTCTTTTTATTTTCCTTTTTTCCTTTTTCTAGTGGACTTGGAATCTCTATAATTGGTTATTTTAGCAATAATACAAATTGTTCAATATATTGGCTTATAATTTATTCTTATAAAAAATCACGTAAATTGAATATCAATAGTCAGTTGATTATATTATTTTTGTATCAACAATTTATTTTTGAAATCATACTTACTGTTAATACAAATTTAGGCCAAGTTTGGGAAGATCCAAAAAAGTCAAAAAGCCAAAAAGTTACTCAAAAAGCTAAAAAGTTAACACTATTCACCAAAAGTCAAAGTTAACACTATTCATCAAAAGTCAACAATTACGGCTGCACAACTCTCAATTCAAATTTTTTCCTACAAATCAATTTTTACAATTTTTTATTACACATTTTTCAATAAAAAGTCAAAAAATTAACCCAAACATCCATATTTTGAACCTCAATTTTTTAGTCCAAAAAGACAAAAAGTGCACTTTTTTAGTCTTCCCAAACTTGGCCTTAATCTGATTAAGTTACTATCGATATTCGATCAATGTGATTTTTTATAAGAATAAAGTTCTCAACAAGTTCTATACATTCAAATTATCGACGTGGGTATATGATGGACCTATAGAGATTCAACAATACACTCTAATCTAGTTTTGGACAAAAGAAAAACATGAGTCTTAAATAGTTAAAAAAAAAAAAAAAAAAAAAAAAGTGCTATATACTATATACTACCGTCTAAAAATTTAAATAATTTATAATAAAATTTTAATACAAAAAATATACCGTATTAGTAGAGTTATTTATGATTTAATTATTTTATTTTTATTGAATTGAGTAATTAATATGAACTAAAAATTTATTTTATCGCTAACAACTTTGAAATATGTTAGTATTTGTTTATTTATTTTTTATCAAATTAAATGCTAATGAACAAATTGATGAAAAACAATGGGGTGTTTGTTTCAGCTTTTCAAAGCTAACTTATGACTTTTAGTTTTGAAAAAGTTATTTTGGATTATTTGGTTAAATTTGTTTTAAACAGCTTCTGATTCTAACAGCTTATTTTAACTCAAAAAAGCTGATTCTGAGAAGCTGTTCACCCCTTGCTTCTGATTATTAACTTCTGCTGTGGACATGTTAATTTATGGTTATACTCTTAAATTTTTTTATTTCTTATTTTTTTCAAAATAGAAAAAGACTCAAATGGACTATAGATTATTATTATTATTTTTTATGAGAAATGTAGACAAACAAAAAATAAAAATTAATTGAAAAAGCTATTTCACAGCTTATTTAACAAACACTACTCAGCAACTTAAATCTATAATCCAACAGCTACACCAAACAGATTAACAACTTCTGATTAAAGTCATAATCTATAATCTGTTAAGCTATAATCTATAAGCTGTTTTAATAGATACACCAAACGGGGCCAATAAAGAAAATAAAAATATGTTAGAGTGAAGTAAACGTGCTATACTATACATGAGAGATAATTTTATTTTTAATTTATTTTTTAGAATTTGCCTTTTTATGTTAATAAAATTTGCGACAATAATAAACAGTAAATTACACTTTGGCTCTTTTATATTCAGTTAATTTTTCACTTTGGCTCTTAAAGTTTGTTTTTTTTCCTTAATTTGGCCCTTCATGGTCGATTTTCCACTTTGGCTTTTAAAGTTTGTTTTTTTCTTAATTTGGCTCTTCACGTTTCAAGTTTTTCTCAGTTTATTCTTAAAATCATTTTCTGTTCAAGCTTAAACAAAAAATTCCACAATAACTATCACATAACTTAAAAAAATATATTATTATATTAGAGTTCAAGTTTATGTCAAATGCGTGAGTTATATATAATAAATATGTTACATAACTGTCAATATCTCATTTTCTGTCAAATTTTAACATAAATTAACTTTAGTGTAAACTAAGAAAAATTGAAATATAAAGGGTTAAAGCGAGGAAAAAAAATAAACTTTAAAGGCTAAAATGGCCAAACATATAGGGAAAAAAGTGTAATTTACCCAATAATAAACATATATTTTTTAATGCTACTAATGTAAATTAGTATTTGACTATTTAAGAATTTAAAGATACACGATTCAAATTATAGGGAGATTTAGCAACAAGTCCTTCATTATACGTTTGCTAGTTTAATGTAGGAACAAAGTTTTTTAGCTCAAGTCTGCTAAGATTTTGAAGGGCATTTTCGGACTAAAATACCCAAATACTAGTGGTTAGGTTATTCTGTTATCTTTGGAATGATTTGAAAATTTGAAAATTCAATAATTTTTAATTTACATGTTCATTTTTCATAAAATTTGTAATTTAGAATCCTTTAATCAAGATTTATCAAACAAAATTTATAATAAATATGAAATTAAAGAAAAAATTAATAAAATTTCACTATCCCAAGTCTGAGAAATTTCTCTGATTTGGGACAGTGAAATTTCACTATTCCCAAGATAGTGAAATCTTCAATTGATGGTTAAAAATTATAAAAATAAAAGGCCCATTGCAAAATTTAGATACCTATTTTCAAATTTAATAATAAAGATGCCAAATTGAGCACTACAACATTATAAAATTAGAAATTTCTTCATTATAAATAGTGAAGTTTTGCTGACTTCTATGTTCACTATTTTTTTACAATGAAATCTCAAATTTGAGAGTTAAAAGATGAAATTTTTAATTCTTCATAGAGGGTTGGAAAATAAAAAATAATAATAATAGAAGCAAAAATACTACAACCATGTATCACTTCAAAACATAAGATTTTACAACCAATCAACCATATCACCAATTAATTAAAAAAGTAATGCCTGAACAAAGGAAAATTTTTCCAACTCTATTAAAAGCATACATCTATATACACTTTTTTACGGCTTCAACAACAATAAAGCAAAATTAACAAATGAGGGGAAAAAAATAAAAATAAATAACAATTCTCTATGTCATGTTTGTTTGAATGGACATGAGCTTGGGATTGGACTAATAGTCCAATAAAATTATTAATCCGATATTTGGTTAAACAATTGAAGTACGAACTAATTATTTTAAACTTGACTATTAGTTAAGATAGGATATATAATCCAACGGATTCGTAATCCTAAAACTATTAGTCATGGAAATACTAATCCAGTCCGCCCTTCCTCAACATAGATTTGCATCGGAGTTGAGCAGATTGGTCATTGATTCCACTCATTAGCCTCGCCCATAATCGCTCTTTTATTCAGACTTTTTTGTTTTTCTATGGCCCACGGTCAATGGCCCCATTGATTATAGTGACTTCGGTTTTGACCCGACATTTTATTGTGTTTCGGGCTCGAGTTTCATGGTTTAATGTTGTTGTTCATCTTTTATTCCCCTTGTTGTTCCTTGGAATTTCTTTCAATCATGAAAGAATGGCTTTGGATATATTAACCAAATGGTTAATTCCATCTATAAATCTTTTATATCAAAATTCTAACAATTCTCTAGATTCGTATGAATTTCTGAAAGATGCTATTTTTTAAGTCAGTATAACCTATTTCGGAATATTTATAGCACTCTTTTTATATAAACCTATTTATTCATCTTTGCAAAACGTGGACTTAATTAATTTGTTTGGATTGTAGTTGTGTGTTTAGAACAGGTTGGTTGCTTATTTTTCTAAACCTTTGTTGCCTAGATTTTTGCTCCTCCGCTCGAGCGGCCATTCTTGCGCTCGATTGGGCTTTGAAATTTTTGCTCCTCCGCTCGAGCGATCATTCTTGCACTCGGGCAAGATTTGCAAACTCTCAGTATTTTTGCAAACTTACAAATACTAGAAGAGTGTATTCTACGCTCGAGCGGCGTTTCCTTCGCTTGAGCGTCCAATCTTGCGCTCGAGCGATGTCCTTTGTCTACAAAACTTCTGAAAGTGTGTATTCGACGCTCAAACGTCAC